ATTCATGACCCTAGCATGTCCAGATCGTGAGATATCAAGACCAGACGTTTTGCTGCAGTACCAAGGGAAGCCACTAGGGGGGCAGAAATCTCATCATTTATAGATGTAGTCACACCCTACGGACCAACCAAGTATGAAACCAATCCATCCAGCTGTTCTTGAGTTGTCTTGTCGACAAGTTGTTGTGGAATTCTTGGAATATTTTCAAATCAATCGGAGTAATATACCAATCGCTCCACTCCTGAGACGTCGCAAAAAAGAAGCGTTTATGCCCCGCATTCCAATGCTGGAGCAGGAAAGCTTGACATACTTACCGAAACACATGAATGCAGTTCTCAGAATACTGTCAATGTGGCATGTCTTTGTGCAGCTGTTAATTGAGTTAACTTAAGCAAATCCGAACAGAGGAAGAAGAAGAATAGAGGAAAGATGCATGCCTATTGGTTGCTTGCTCTGCATGCCATTCTGATGACTCATGCACAAATATGGTAACACACTGCTATAACACATTTTCTATAACACAGCCCAAAAGCCTGGAAGTATTTGTCCATTCTACCTTCAAGTCAAATTTCATGTTATTTGGCCCCAAAATGAAGGTGTTGAATCAATTTAAAGAAATGGCAGGAGAAGAAGGAGGAGAAGAAGAAGAAACGTGGGGTGAAGTGCACAGTGGCGAAGCCATAAAAACACATGCACACACACACACACACACACACACACACACACACGCACACACATACGCCACCAAAGACATAACCTTTGGTGGCGTATGTGTAGTGGTGAAGGTAACATGTTAACCACTGACCTGTTCCCTGATTTCCAGCAGTAGTACAGGGTTATAATTAGCAGGACCACCACGACAACTCCAACGGCCACAAGCTGATCGTCCATCGCAAGCGGCTTAAGGTTCACTTAGAAAGAAGGATGGTAACTTTTAATACTAGCGTTCTTGTGTAACTGTAATGGTATAGGAATGTAAACATGAGCAAAGGTCAAACTGTAGTCGATCCTTTTGAAAACTTGGCAAAATATTGGTATGAAAAGCGTAGTACTGTGATCAGAGCTGTGTGGGTCGTTTCTGGTTCTACTAATATCATGAATTGTACGAGAAAATTGGCAGATGGATTAGTGAGAAAGCCATTACTATGTGGAACGGACGGCGTGGGTATCTGACTTCAAGTAAAGAGCAGGCAGACCCGCATGCCTCTGGTAACACAATCCGTCTTCAAACAATAGACCCCAAACATTTCATTCGCGTCGTGTAAATAAATAAGTGCCATGTTATTTACAGTTGGCCTGTTTTTTTTTTCAAATTCCATGATTTTTGAGAACAGCAAGAGCTTTGTGTTTTGTTATGGGTTCATTTCGTGGTGTGGTGAAACCATATTGCTTTTTCTGGTGTTTCTTCTTCTTCTCCTCCTCCTTCTCCTCCTGCCATTTTTTAAATGGATTCAGCTTCTTCATTTTAGGGCCCAAGGTCCTGAAATTTGGTATGGAGGTACAGTGGGCAAATACCCCTAGGCGTTTTTTAAATTATTGTGATAC